AGAAATAAAGTTTTTAAAGAGTGTAAAATTCGGATAACATATTCAGGAATTATTAAAGGCTTATTCTTCTTATTCTTTTTGTATTTAATACTTAAAAAAAAAGAAAAACATATTTTATTGTATTATAAATTTACTTTTATTTATTTTTTAATTCTTAATATTAATAATTTAAGCTGAGTTTTAATTCATATCAACCACTTCCAACATTTTTTTTTAAATTCTCGTTGTTAAATTATCAGTCGAAATTAATATTCAATCAAAGTAAATATAATGATATTATTAATTAATTTATAATTTATTTTAAAAGAATATCATGTCCATAGTACTTACTTCTTTAGATGAAGAAGATTTAACCCTTCCCTGGCCCCAATTTGAATTATATTTTAAACCAATTAAGAAAATTAATGGTACCAAGTCTACACTTTGTATGTAAATTATGTCCCAACGCAAATATTTCAACGTCAAATAGCTCAAACTTGAAAAAACATTTGAAGGTAAAGAATGAATTAATATATAATTATTTTAAACATATAAAAATGTAATCATGATATGTTATAAAAAAATTTATTTAAATTTCATTATAGATTTTATTATTAAAATACTATATATATAGCATCTTATTATTTAACCATGTATTTCATAGGCGTAGCCAGAGGGGGGGGGGCAAGGGGAAATCCCCCTCCCTTCAGAAATTTATCACTTTTTGTAAATATTATATTTAGCTAATAAAAAATATCCCCCTTAGTCCTCACCCCCACTCCCTGACCCTCAAATATGTATGCATATATCTTAAATAATAATTTAAAAGAAAGAATAAAGTTGATATTATTTTATAAAACTATTCATCATAATTTATAGATTTTTGGGAAAATAGATTTATAAATATATAAAATGAACCAAAAATGTTTTTTAATAAATGGAATATAAGCCAAAGATAAGTTTTAAAACAGAAGTGAAATGTATTATAATTATTAATAATAGATCCATAAAATTACTAAATAATATAATATATCAAATATAGTTTTTTATAAAGTGAGTAATTTTAATTTATTTATCTTAATAAAAGTAAAATATAGTTATAAAACTATTGATAAAATTAAATCATAAATTAAAAAAATATAAAAGCACAATACAAACAGTGGAATATTATATTTCGTAGATTTATAGTATATCTAATTATCAAATGACAATCAAGTAATTTTTACCAATATAGCGAATTATATATTTTACAGAAAACTATAAAATATTGATAAGGACATCAGAAAATATCTTTTAAAGACATTGTGGGATGAAAAATATGAAGATTAAATTTAAATATCATTTTTACTAAAAATAAATAGATGGCGTTAAATAATTGAATGTAAATTGTTGCTATATTTAATATCAAGAGCATTGATTAGTAAAATTTGTTAAATTACTAACTGTAATATATACTCTAACTGTCAAATATGTCTGTAAAAGTGGAATTTTACCTAGTATTTTATAACTAATTCTATATAATAGAGTAAAATCAACTATATGTCTACTTACTTTTTATAAATAAATTTCTTATAATTGTTTGTAATAAATTATTACCATGCTTTTAAATTAAGGTATATACAATACAAGTAATTTATTATATCCCCCTTATGAAAATCTTGGCTACGCCTATGATGTATTTATTTTAATGATAGTACACAATAAAATAAATTTGAAATGTATAAATTTTATACAGATTATTATATTAAAAATTTATTATACATAAATATTTTTTAAAAAATAAGATTACAATAAAATTTAAGTATTCTTTTTACTCTTAATGGTATTTAAGAAAATATATATAATTTAACAATTATACTTATAACTAATACAAATGAGTATATTATCAAAATATAAATAACTTTTTTTGCAAATGCAATACCTTTATAAAAAACATATAAATATTATGACTAAGAATTTATTATAAATAAGTTTTGCATATAAAAATGTTAATACTAAAAGAACATATTATAATCATATTGTAATTTTATTATAATGCTAGAAATTATTTAAAAGCTATCAAGTAAAAAAAAAATATAATATATTTATTAAAAATTTATTAGAGTATATGAACAAGGAGAGGAATCGGATGATGAAATAGTTCCTCTGCCATTATTTGATCTATTTGAAGATCAAAATATTAATGATAGTATTGTATACTTACCTAAGCATCATTCCTGTTCAGCACACACTTTAAATCTTATGTATTGACACTGAAAAGGCACTCAACGATGTCCATTATAAAACCATTTCAAAAATTACATTTTCTAAATGTAAGCTTTTGTGGAATAAACATGATCAATCTTCTAACTGTGCAGCCATTTTTAAGGAAAATATGGGAAGATATTTGATTAAGATGAATCTTGCGACAAATCTGGATTACAGAGATTTTCAGATAACGACAAGTCGTTCATAGATGAATTGTATGGTTAGTGTTAATTAAAATATGATATGTATATATATGATTTTATAGGTTATGGAACCGATAGCTATGGCTCTTACAATTTTAGGGAGCGAAGAAAATATGCATTTGGGATATCTCACTCCCATTATAAACATTATAATATCAAAACTTAAAAAATTGGCTTTAAATAATTGTTTTGTAAGCCGCTTATTGATTCAATCCTGGAAGCCATAGATAAAAGGTATAAAGTTCAAATATTGCTTATAATTTATATTTTGACTATCATATTTTCAATAGATTCAAACACATCTATGATGATGATTTTATACTATCGGCAATAATTCACCACTATTTAAAATGGATTGGCCCTGGATAAAATTAGAGGTCAATAAAGGAAGAATGCCGGAACTTATTTCCAGTTTGAGAAAAGATATTGATAAAGAAAGAACAGGCTTGATTCCTTTATCCAACACACACACTAGAATATTTTCAGATAATGATAAAAAATTTGATGAAGAAATGAATGGAGATCTCTGTGAAGATGATCTTTCAAGCTTTTTTCAAAATAAAGATATTTCCTTAAATATTTTTAATAAATTCCCCGAATTGAAATTTTTGTTTATTAAATATATCACCACTCTCCCATCCTCTGCGCCAATTGAACGTGTGTTTAGCACCTAAAGGTGTGTTAAGTACTAAGCGCTCATGTTTATCATCAAAATTTTGAAAATCAATTGTTAAAAATAAATAAAAAATTGTTACATAAAGATGTTATCTTATAATATATTATTTTTTTATAATTTTATTCATATTATAATTATATATGAAAATTTTATTATAAAAAGATCTTATCTTATGTGTTCTTTTTGTATAGATTATTTTATTATATATTGTCGGAAAAAAAATATCTTTTTGCATTATATATAACATTTAATTTTTTTAAATAACGAGTAGCTCGTTACTTTTTTTGAAAAGTCGGTAACGCGCGGTCCTTTTGTAAAATGGTAACGAGTAACGGTAACGCGTTCCATTTTTCAGATGTAACGAGTAACGGTAACGCGTTTCTTTTTTGTAGTAACGTTTACAGCACTAGTATATTTAAATACACAATGCGTATAAAAAGTATCATATTTTTTCAATTTCAAACCTATTACAAAAAGACATATAATTTTATTATTTGATAAATAATGTAATAAAACAAATTTATATTAATTTTCATGAAATAATTTAAAACAATCTTTTTTTGTAGTAAAACATAATGATACATCATGTTTGATACCAATCACTTCGTAACCAATTTACACCCAGTATTTTTGCATCGCTCCTTTTTACTATATTTTGGCCAATGTGCTAATATATCCTGTCTTATTTCTTTCTGCGTAATAAGTTTTGTTGACACCTTGCTAGATTTTTCTTAATATTTAGTGTCAATTGATATTCGTTTTTTTTACGCTAGCGTTCATATTTTTGTTACATTTACAGAGTATCTGCTATTGAAATTTTAAATGTTAATAATGGCATCTGTTCTTTTACCGGTATCTTTAAAGTCATAAAATCTTGCCTATACATTAACCAGGATATGAGCATCATATCAAATATAGAGAATTCTATACGGTGATACCATTTACGTGATCTTATGTGAATTCGATATAAAGCAATCAATGAATCTAATAAATCTACACCTCCCATATTTATATTGTAAGCTTTTATAGCTACTTGGACATGTTGCAATACTCTCTTTTGAGCGAGTAATACTTGAAGTCTATACCACAGAACCAATTATCAAACAATTTGAAATTGAAATGTAGTGGTACCAATAGTTGAAATACCGCATTTCCGTTATTATCAACATCTGCTGACCTTGAATCAAGAATTTCCTCATCTGATGAACCACTAAGGTTAGAATCAGAACTATCTTATGGAATACAGTACATTTTGACTATAGATAGCAAATAAAGAATATTTAATAATATAAAATAAATAATCAAAAAAGCCCAAATTCATATTTGTGCGCATTATGTATCTGGGTACACGTACCTTAAAACTTAAAAACACTATGATTATAACAATATATTTATATACAAAACATTTCTTTTACCTTTATTTAATAGGATTCTTAATTCCTGTTCCTTAAAAATTGTGCAAGAGAAATGATATGATTTATAAAATGGAATGCAACTATTCGAAAGTTGTAAGAATTTTATATTGATAGCTCTCTTTCATTTTTGACAAAATTAACTATAGAAATATAAAATATATGTGTATCTATTATACATCATGTGTATTAAACTTTAAAAAATTTTATATTAAAATTTATACCTTTTTTTATGGTATGTGTATTCAAATATGATGTACGCAATAGAGGGTTAATAATATAAATTTTCGGAAAATTCCAAAATTGTTCCGGGAGCGTTTTCGATATCACCTTCATGTTCCCTTCACATTCCTTGATTTTCTCCAAGATACGTTCCCGGATCATGCTTGGAGGTTCCGTCCCTAGTTAAACATAACTTTCTAATAAAACAAAATCTAAGTTTATGATCAATTCGTAAATTTTATTTTTTCTGTCAGTCATTACCTTGTGCTAAAAAGGTTTGGATACTGTTTGCAGATGATTTCTTATCGGGCTTTATAAAACATGACATATTTTTATTGAACCAATCGATTCCCGAGATCTCCATAAGTTTATATGTGTATAAAGAGATTTTAAAGATTAGATATGATATAGTAAATATATGTTTTACGATTGAATTGCTGATTAAATATGGAAGGATGTTTCCGAGGCATGAATTTCGTATTCCAATCCATAAACCTATAATGATATATATGAAATAGTTTATAATATTTTAATCTAATTAGTGCCCTAATTATGCTTAAATTAGAATGCTGTAAACTTAATAAGTTACAGAGGACACAAATTAGATCAAAATGCTATATATAGTATCAATGAAAGCATGAATTATTAAAAAAAATTACTCAACTAAATAAATCATTTGAAGGGATAACATTGACATATGTTGCTAACTTATTATCGTTTTTATTATTTTTGCCAGAAATAGTTGCATTCATCGATAAAAAATTTATGCTGATATTGAGGGTAGGGTTGGCATCTGTGACCTTTAATATTTGTATTTGATTAGTGCCATTAGTAACAGGATTTGTCATTCTATTATTAGAAAAATTTATAGTTGAATTGATTAGGGATTTCTGAATAAATCGAAGTCTTGCGTTCGATACATTTAAATTTACATAGGAATATTGATCTGGGATAAATAAAATGATAGGAAATTTTGTTGAGGTTATATTGGTCGCCAATCCCCATTCTAAAATATTAGATGCGAATTCTAAAAATATAAAAAAAAAATTAAATTTTTTATGATGAATAAGGTTAACAATTGTTCTATCTTACTATTTTATATTATATTCAATAAAATAAAATAAAATTAGAAATCGGGTGATAATAACACTATTCATGAATTTACTATATAAGAATGATAAATTGATTAATAATTTCATCATTTTTTTTAAAGAAGAGATAGGTGAAAATAAATATTTTATAATAAATAATAACTGATTTCCATAAATATTTAAAAGTTGAGTAAAATGTGTAAAGGTGAACCAAGATTTATTATATTTTCTATTAATTATTTGAAATCATAAATCCTTTTTTCTTTCTTTCTAAACCTCAAGAAGGGATCTGAATAAATTTCAGAGTTAAATAATTAAATTATTGGCGTCGCAAAAATTGGTGTGATTTATAAATACGGGAATAAATAAATAAATACTAGCTGGCCATTGTCATTAAACCTTATCTTATAGTAATTTTTTGCTTACTTTCACAGAAATGGGTAAAAGTATGATGGTTAGAATTTTTTTTATAAAATATAATACCCCCCCCCCTCTTCTCTATAGTGCTCCTTTTTAACACTTGTTTAAATAGGTTTTAGAAGGTTCCACGAAAATTTGTTGCTTTTAAAGCAAATAATAAGATTATAAATTTTTTGATGTATCATTTTCTTTAATTAAAATATATAGATAAAAAAATATGGTTTTATTTTATCAAAGGAGCACGCCTCTCTTAAATCCAGAGTAGGTTCGATAGAAGCTAGATTCTTTTATAGTGGGAGCGGAAGCTAGCTCCTCTTAGACAGGAATGTTAACAACTCTGCAAAATTAGAAAAAAGGTGAATAGGTAAAGAAGGAAATCAAAATCAATGTACAAGAACTAATAAAATTTTTAGTCTTAAAATAATCTACTTTTAATAGCACAGTGTAGCTGCCCGATTGCTTCCTCATTTGTAAATACCTGGAAGATCAGACTACTTTTACAGGTATAACTTGATTATTCTATGTTTCCCCCAAAGATACATAATTTTAGATAAAAGATAAATAATATAATATGTCCTCTTTCTTAAATATAATTATATTTATATGTATCATACTATAGCAATAGCAAATTATACAATCATTAGCATCTCTATCTATCACCAACGATTCACATTGGGGACAGGCTCGAATTTTGCAAGATCCTGGTTGTTCTTCTTTAATATATAATATGTAATTCTATTTAGTGGACATTTATATAAATTAATATATATAGACAAATTTTAAGGATAAGAAAAATAAGGGATCATCATGTTTTAACCAATGATGATACAGAATCATATTTTAGGCGTTTTAAGTGCCTCTTCTTTTTTTATTTTGTTAATATTATTATTTATATTCAAAGTTTTTTTTCTCGGCATTATGAAAGTTGATTTGTTCAGTATAGATGTCAATTAATAATTTTAAAATATCTATTCAATTATAGACAAACCTCTATCTTTATAGGACCAATCTAATCCTTGGAGGAGGGGCTGGAATATTTTTATCAACACAAAATATCGACATATATATGGGTTTTAAATAAAAGCTAATTGAAATATATGTTGACTAAATAATAGTATTACTCACACTTGGTCTTAATGGGAAGGATTTAGTCCTGAAAGAATGGTGGGTGGGGTATTTGGGTGGAAACTTAAATAAAATTTTGATATTGGTATCAAATAAAAGGTAATTAAAATATGACTAATATTATTAATCACTTTATGGGGAGTCTAAGTCTATAACACAAATATTCAATATGTGTATCAAATTAAAGGTAATTAAAATATTTTTTAATATATGTTAATTATCCTTTTATGTGGGCTGGTCAATGTCTTGGGTTAAAATTTTTAAATTTTTTAAAATTTTATTTAATATGGGCATATCAAATGAAAGTTAATTATAATATATTTTGACTATAAGGTTAATTATCCTTTTAAGTATGCAGACCTAGGTTTGGTAGTCAGATATTTTTAAAATTTTTTATAATAAAAATTAAATATTGGTATCAAATAAAAGCTAATTGAAATTTCGTTTGACTAAAATTATAATATTAATCTTCTTAGTCTTAATGAGTAAGGCTTCTGTTGTTAGGTACCATTTAGGTCGATTTTTAGAAACAGCCCAATTAAAATTATGGAAAATAAATTATATATGCCTTGAAATTTTTTTATATCCAAACTTTTCTATTATCTATGAGCAGAACCTCCAGGCATGCGTAAAATATTCTTGGCTAATATCTTGAGTTGATCTTTTTTAAAGAAAGGACAAAATCGGACTGTTTATCAACACTATATAATTGGGGCGTTGGGGGGATTAAGTAAATAAATCAAAATATATTTAATTGGCTATTATTTGATGCTCCTATCATATTCTTATATTAACATGTTTTTAAAAAATAATGCCCCCCTCCTCCCAAGATTCACTCATTTAAAGTTATATATAATTTTGTATTCAAAGGATATTTTAATTATTTTCCATTTGATACTCATATATAATTTTTTATTCTTGATCTTTCCCCTAAATTATTCCTTCCTGGACCAAGTTCTACCCATTAAGGCTAAATAATACTATCATTTCAGTCAAAAGATATTTCATAACTTTCTTTTAATACCCCTATTCAATTTTAATATTTATTGAAACTCTGGACCCCCAAGAATAGAATCCTTGAAATTATAATTTTTTCTCTCTATTTCATTTTTGGATGAGATATAATACCTCATCTATTTTTTTATGGGGCACAGACCCCATAGAAATATGTCAATGAGAGCGGAAGCCTCGCTGCTCTGATGAAGTCGGCGTGTATGACCTATAATATAATATAATTTTGCAATGATTGAAGAATCTAAATACTTAAATTGTTAACTAGCTAGATTATGAGAAATGTTATAACTTATAACTTTAACTGTAGTGTAATTAAATTAAATTTAAATAACTTTATTCATAACTAGCCACTTTTTTATGAAAAATATAACTCAAATCAATTATTTATATGTGTTTGTTTTATATGCAACTCTTCTATATAAACCGTAACTTTTTTTTAACTTTCTAAAATTCGTTTCTTCTAAAAATATAAAAAGTAACTAGAACCAATTACTATTTTGTAAGATAACTTGTATCAGTAACGAATATTACCATTCTTTTTTTAAAAAGTGGAATTAAAGTTACAAATTATAAAAAGAAATTGTTTGTGTTGTTAAACGGGTCGATTTGGCCAGATTTTTGAAAACGGCTAACTCAATATTTTAACCAGAAATTTGCCTAAATCTTGAAATTGTCCAAACCTTTGTTCTATCTGTTAACAAAATCGTTAGGCTTTCGATGTGACTTCCCTATTTTTTACTAAATAACCAGGATATCGCTGCTAATCTCTACCATTAATGGTCACCGTACCATATCTGCAACAGTTTATATTTATTGATTTTTCACATATAAATTTTTTGAATTGAAATAATTTCACATATGATTCTTATAACTCGAAGATTGTACAACATAAAAAACATTTTTTTAAATATTTATTTTTGAGTGTGCTAGATGCCATTGAAGTTCGAGAACTTTGGATTAGTAAAAGTCATATGTTCTAGGCTCCATCGTTGAAAGAGTATTTATTTTTTTAATGCAATTGACATAAATTTCTAATATATGCCTTGACCTATTCTAATTTATTTTGACCCGTCATTTTATCTATTCTTGGATTTATAATCATATGTTTTTACTGTACCATTTATGCAACGTTGACCTTATAGATTAAAAAAAAGTAATTTTTCTAAAATAAAATATATAAAAAATTGGCAACATATTTAATTATATATTTTGTTTATAATTCTTACTAAACAAAAATACTATTTTTTCATTATAATATTTTTATTATTTATATAAAGTAATTCCAGAAAATTATTAATTTTTATTTTTTCATTTGAATATAAAAATTATTTGTAAATTATTTATTATCAACTTATATTTGCCAAATTTTATTATTGTGACAAAACAATTTCTAACAGTTGATGAAGCCCTATCCATGCTTTTCGATAAAGGCCCTATTTATAAAACAGATGTTGCAATTATACTTCCTAATACTGCTTTAATTAGTGATGATGAAGATTTCGATGAGAACGATATAACCAACACACCTAATCTTCCATTAGATACTGAAGGGGTGATCGAAATCCATAATCGAGCAGATATTAATTGTCTCAGAATACTCGATATCTACAAATCAAGAAAGCAAATTAAATTTTCGAAATAATTTAAAATGGAGAAAAATTGATCCAATTTACACATTGAGACCTAATGATAATGATAAAGAATTATAGAATCTCAATTTGATTTGATCGGAAAAACTCCAATAGAAATATTTGGATTATTTTTTGATCAAGAAATGTATTCACTGCTTGTGGATCAATCACATAATTATTCAAAACAATAAACCAAATTTTATTACAACTGAGTAAGAGATAAAAAGATTTAGAATTGTGGTGTTTTGATCTATGCGATAACATAGTATCAACATATAGAATAAATATGAGATAAAAAATGGTAGTGCCTATTTTTGAATCTTATTGATGTAGAAGTAGTAAATTCATGGAAGTTATGGAATCGAGTGTATCCTGATGATAAAAAATCATTACTAACATTTCGGCGGGTAATAACTACCACACTTTTGAAAACTCCTCTGGTAAATAAAAAAAATGAGTACAAGTAGAGGTCATCCTAGTCACTAAGTGAAACACCTGAAAATTCTTATGGGTATAATATTACAACTATTATCGATAACAAAAGGTGACGTTGTAAGCATGTAACATGTGTCAAATACTAATACATATTGATTGTTTAAAAAATTTCATAAAATATAAATATTATAAAATTGTATCTCATAAATGTAAAATATGTAAAGAAATTTTGAAATTATCTATCTCATTTCGATTTTACTCAATAATAATTTTATCTTATCTTTATACCCCTAATGGTCAATCAAATTTCCTATTTAAGATAATTTTTTCGTGCCGACTTTTTTGTGATATCTTAGTTATACTAAAATAAATAAAATTTGAAAAAATTAAGAATTTTCATCAGCTGAAAAAAGGTAACCATTAATTGGTTAATGCAAAATTTTACCGTGTTTACATTCTATAACTGAATTAAATTGTAAAAAAGGTCCAATTTACCTTGTTGATAGCCTTATGGTTAAATGTCTCAACATATTTGCTTAATACTAACTCAATATTTTAATCGATCCTGCTATATATACATTATTCATGATTTAGTGCAAAGAAATTATATTTTACTTATGATTGTGGTGTCCAGGAATAATAATGCATTCAAATATAAAATTTGAAAATTCAATAAGAAATATAATAATACTTTTTGGGAATTATTTAATTTTGGATACATTAATTAAGTTAAAGAAAGGATACACAATTATAACCTATCCATATAGGAATCACATTTTTTTTAATAATCTCCTGATTTCGAAAACATTTAAATTTGTTTCTTTATATTTTCTATTTAAATAAAGAATTTTATATTCTTAATATTATTAATTTTTTTTTTTAAATTACGTTTTTTAAAAATTTTTATATCTAGTGTGAAACCATTTTCTTTTAAATATTAAAGTTGTTTATATAATTCATCTTATAAATATTATTCTATCATATGTTTCTATGAAAAGCGATTATAAATTTTAATGAAAAAAATTAAATTTAATAATATATTTATTATATTCCACCTTTTATTTTTCAAGATTGTTGAAATGATAATTTCGTTCAATAAAAATTTACCATCAATTATTTTAACAATTATGACGTAGGCGCTTTCTTAAATTCGGTTTAATCGTGAACGTTTTCTTAAATTTTTATTTACTTCTTTTATTTTAGGCAGCTGATTACAAAATAATCTTGAGAATAATAAAAAAAGTAGAAGAGCAAATTGATCCTTAGTTCACCATTATCCTTATATTTAACTTTTCGATTCACTCTATGTAACCCATTCTCGATAAGAAATAATATTTTGATAAGGCAATCAAATCTTGAATAAAACTCAAATTTCGAAAGCTATTGAAATAAATAAGCTTTTTTTGTTTATCGAGAAATATCATGTAAAAGTATATTTCTAGAAAATTTTCAAAATTTAACAGATTTGGTTTAATATTTGTGAAAGTCTTAAAACTAAAAAGTTAAAAAATTAATATTTGAGGTTAAAAAATAAAATATATATTTAAAATATAAATTATCCTTTAAAAATATATCTGTTGATTTATTAAAATGCAATGTCATTTTTAAACATTATTGGAAAAAACGTTTGATTCATTTGGGCATACCTGTTATCCTAATGTCTAACATTTTACCAACAGATATCCTGGCATATTCTATACTGCTAAATTGTTAATTCATTTATCAAATTAGAAAAGTGTATCTCATACATTCTGAATATGGAGGAAATATTAATTTATAATTATTTTGACATGACTAGGAATGTAAATTTACCGGAAAACTAGAATAGGAAGACATTTCCCTAGAAATTTGGAGAAAAACGGGAAAATAAGGAAGCAACGGAGAATTTTCTTTAAAAAATTATTTTACAGGTCAATATTAATTTTTTTTCCATGTTTATTAAAAATTTATAGACTATCTATATTATAATTTTTTGATGTCCTCGCTACATCATTCGTGTGTCAGGTTATCGCTACGTCATGTCATCGTTACTATTCTTATTATTTATTTATCAATTTCAAAAAAATAATAAAGAAATAAATATTTTCTTCAAATTATTTTATCTCAAATTCAATCAACAGTATTCCAGTAATTTCACTTCTAATGGGTCACTAATTATAGTGTGCAAGTTAATTATATTATATTGAAGCAAATTATATATTAGTACAAATTTTAGATATCAAAAAATAAAAATTTTCTTCAAATCATTCTATTCTAAATTCAACTCAACCAGTATTCAAGTAAATTCAATTCTAATGGATCATAATTTTAATTACAATATTGTTTGAAGCAGAATTTGCTTCTGGTAGCTTTCTTACCATTAAGGTTTTCTTAATTCCAACTGATTCTGGCTTACCATTTTTTTAAGTGCCGCCAATTTCTCGTGAGACCTGCTTATGTCATGACAATTTATAAAGCTCAGAGACAAACGTCGTTGGACAAAGTTGGTATCTATTTACCTCATCCTGTTTTTTCACATTGACAGCTATATGTGGCTATGTCTCGGGTTTGTTTTCCTCAATGTGGTGTTGAGGTTATATCCGATTAATCCCGTTAATACGAATACGATAGAACAACACTATATGATATTTTTTTTATAATTTAAATAAATTTATATATCTATTTTAAGTATCCTACTTATTTTTAAAGCTATCCATTATGTCGGGCCGAGCAATATGCCCTTTTATCTATGATGAATATTTTGTATAACTCACAGAAAAATATACATAGTATATTATTTTTATTATTTAAATAAATTTATATATTAAGGATCTTACTTTATTTAAAGCTTGGCATTTTGTCACGAACAATGCTTTATTATCCCTGCTGATTATTTTGTATATAACTCACAAATATATAGTTTCTTTTCCTTGGTACCTTCTAACTTACGCTAATCTTTTTAATTTAATTTTTATTTTAGAATAAATGTATACTTTTTTTACTTGATATATTTTGAGCAATATGCCCTTTTATCTATGAAATATTTTGTAACTCACAGAAAAATATACATAGTATATTATTTTTATTATTTAAATAAATTTATATTAAGGATCTTACTTTTTTTAAAGCTTGCCATTTTGTCACGATGCTTTATTATCCCTGCTGATTATTTTGTATATAACTCACAAAAATATATACATAGTTTCTTTTCCTTGGTACCTTCTAACTACGCTAATCTTTTTAATTTAATTTTAATTCTTTTTTAGAATAAATGTATACTTTTTTTACTTGATATATTTTTTATTTTCTTTTTCTTATTTTTTTTCCTTTCAACTAAAAATGAATGAAATTCTCTTTTCAAATTTTCTTTTAGCAACAGGAATAATAATGATTTATTTTGCTTTGTTTTCACTTTATATAACATCGCGAAAAGAATAAATACAAAAATAATCTACACAATAACAATAATATTATATTTTTTTTTTCAACAACGATAAACATACAAAAATCGATAAACATTATTACGTAAAAAAACTATTACATGATAAATATATATCGATTAAACATTATTTACTAAAAAACCTATTAGCATAATAACTCAATATTCGCCAATCACATCACATAGTACATAATTTTTATTATTTAAATAATATTATATAGGATTATATATCTATTCCAAAAAGATGATATATATTACAATATTTTTATTATTTATAAAATTATATATCTATTCTTAAGGACGATACGTGTTCTTATATTTTTTATTATTAGGATTTTAAATTTATTCCAAAAAAACAATACATAGTATACGAATTTATATTATTAAATTATTCCATATCCATTCACAAGGATCCTTTTTTTAAAAGTTTGCCAATTGGTCTCTCCTAATAATAATTTATTTTAATCTTACCTTATAAAAATAACTTAAGAATTGGTTACCCGAATAATATTCGTTTTAGTTCGAAATATACTTACTATTTTGAATAATATTAGTAAATATTTCTATAATTTTTATCATTGTTCCTGCTCAATAAATAAGTTTTTAAACACCCATTTATATTATGGCGATACATTAATTCTTTTTAATTTACCTTATTTACCCCAAACCTATATTGTATTTTAATTTTTATAAAACTTTAATATCTCATGCTTTGTTATTCAACGCTATTTGTTACTCACTACTATTTGTGATTCCGTGCCATTTGTGATTCACATGCTAACTCTCCCCGGCCAAAAGCTGGGTTAGAGTGACGCCCTAGTTAATATATTATCTAAACAAGTATGACATAATTTCAATTATTTAATTTGTTATCTTGGTTTGAAGGTGAAAACGATTCCAGATCTCTAAAATAGAATAATTTATTATCTGTACAACATCTAAATCTATTTATCCAAAGTTATAAGATTTAATCCTTTATCAATTTCATTGTCTTTAAAATTATATCCGCTATGTCTTGGATCAAGTATATGAGCATGGTATATGTGTCCCTACTACATAAAAAATTTCCGTTGTTGTTATTAATTGTTCGATCTCAATAATTTCGTTCCGTGAGAGATCTCCTTGATATAAATAAATGCTCAAGGAACGTCAGATCGTCTACTTTCACTATTTGTGTAGAACTAAATTTATTAAGGTTGTACTTCATTAATGGAGTATTTACGCAAAATTTTTTATTTTTAAACAGACTCTTAATATCAAAACTATACTGTACAAAGGGACTTTAAGGAAGCAATCATATTTTTATCTTAAAGTAGTTGTTTTCCTTAAATGTGAAGAAGAATGTTGAATTTTACATATTTTATAATAATTTGGGCTTCTACTAGAAAATTTTAAATTGATTGCTAGTAAAAGCAAATTAAGTCCATGACAGACCCAATGCATTTGATAAGATATTTATTTCTCACAAGTGTCTATGCTTTCTTCATTATTTGCATTATTTATGATGCTAATTAGTGTTTCCTATTTCTTTAATAACTTTAATAAATTTAATAGGAATATATTTTCCTGAATGCACATTGGTGCCTGTGTTAATTAATTTATAGAAAATGGGACTTGGGATTGCTATAATAAAATTAATAATACATTCCACTCTTATATTTGTCGGTTCCACGTCATTACAGAGAAACCATTACAGAAAATGTATTTTACAGAGAAACCTTTATAGAGAAAAAATAGAGAATGCACTTATAGAGAAAACAATTATAAAGAATGTCGTTTATAGAGAAAATTTTATAGAGAAAATTTTATAGAGAAAGTTTTACATAGAGAATGACGTTTATAGAGAATGCATTTATAGAGAAAACAATTATAGAGAATGTCGTTTACAGAGAATAATTTTACAGAGAATGATTTTACAGAGAATGATTTTAAAGAGAATGATTTTACAGATAATGATTTTATAGTGATTAATTTTACAGAGAATGATTTTATAGAGAATTATTTTATAATGAATGTATTATATAGAATTATTTTATAAAGAATGATTTTATAGGGAATTATTTTATAGAGAATTATTTTATAAAGAATTTTATAAGAATATGATTATTTTATATAAAATGTTATATATAGTCATAAGAAAAAAAATTATAGTATTTGACATATTATTATATATTAGAATTACCTTATATAAGAGAATAATTGGGTAGTTTTTGAATTAAAACAATCGGTACAGAAAATTATTTGTTTATCTTTGCACAAGGTTTTTCGATTATTAGACGAATAAAATTTTGACATGATTTGTAAGGAAAATCATATAGTAAAAGAATATAAAATTTTTTTTACAAATTTAAATTTATTATTTAATTATATTTATTTAAATTAAGTAACTAGTTACTTTTGGCAGTTACTTTCTTAAGAATGTAGCCAGCTACAGTTATGATTTTGTAAATGTAATTAGTTATAAATATTTTTTAGCTAAAGTGTAGCTAGTTAATGGTAACCACTTAATTTGACAAAACTAATGTAGAGATTTTCATTTATAAGCTTTTTTATCTTCAGAAAAATTTATTTAGTTCTTACTTATATTATTATTCTTCCTAAAGATTTTCAATTATAGATGGGACACACCAATAATCCATTCTCAAGTTAAAAGTTATTTGTCACTAAGAGATAGACAAATTTTGACATGATTTGTAAGGAATTTTACGAAATTTATTTTTAAAGATAAGAATACAAAATAAAATATATAGTGTTGTTAAAAGTTACTTTGGCAATGTGACTTAAAGAATATGTTTAATATTATTTGTATATGAGCTTTTATAAAATAACCTTGATAATATACTGAGCTTAGCAATATTCATCACGAAATATCAAAAAAAATTTTATTCATAAAAAATCCAAATAAACATAGTATAATATAAAAAATACAATTATATGATTAAATTAAACATAATTTAAATTATGGGATAAAGTCCTTAAATAATCCAGCATGGTTCTTGAATAAAAATCTTAAACAATTAGAAAAATCCTTTTGGATCTTTCGAGATATTCTTTCTTTGACAGCGGAGCCAATAGTCCTAAAGAATATTGTTCCAATTTGTAACAATTCAGGCTATCTTCATCTTTGAAAGCTAAAAATTAAAATGCTAAAATTTATAATATAATATAATTACTAACTCTTTATAAATTTCCTCGTTGGATGATGGGAACTTATGAGACGAAAAACTTCGATGCCAGTCTTCTACTTTATTTGTATTTGGTTCACGAGATAGTGTCGATTCATAGTAATTCCATAGAGAAATGCTAAATATTGGCGACTTCCTCTCTATCGCTATCATTTTTCCAATCCACGTCTCTTCAAAGTATTCTATCAAGGGGGAGAGAATATCCCTATTTTCTTTATAAAATTTAGAGGCACATTATTCCTCGAATCCATGAATTACATCCTCAATTGGTACATATGCCAGTGACATTAACATTTTTATGTACATAGCAAAATTTTCGGTTTTGTATGAATTGCAAATTAGCGGATTTTTTTGAACCGTGCGCCATATGCATTGAGACATATGAAACAGGCATCCGCGCAAAAGTAACTGGTTACTTAATTTATATATATTTTAATAAATATAATTAAATAATATATTTACATTTGTAAATTTTTTTAACATTCTTTTAATATGATTTAAATCTTAGCCAATGAATTTATATTAATATAAATATATTCGATTTAACGTAATTTAATTGATCCGGCTAGCCTTGAATCTACTATCCACTAAAAATAATTGTAACTAGTGGCTAGTTATATTTAAAAAAAGAAAACTATTAACTGTAACATGTTATATTTTCCCAAACTTAACTACTAACTTAACTAGTTGCATTACATTGCCAAAGTAACTTTTAAAAACACTATCTATTTTATTTTGTACTTATCTTTAAAAATAAATTTCTTAAAATTCCTTACAAATCACGTCAAAATTTTATTCTACCATTAATTCATCTAATAATCGAAAAACCTCGCTTATATAAAGTAATTCTAATATTTAAAATTATGTAAAATACTATAACTTTTTTTTCCTATGACTATATATAACATTTTTTTATAAAATAATCATATCTTTAAGTTAAATTCTTTATAAAATAATTCTCTATAAAATACATTTTTTATAAAATAATTCTCTATAAAATACATTCTATATAAAATAATTCTATATAAAATCATTCTCTGTAAAATCATTCTCTATAAAATTATTCTCTATCATTCTCTATAAAATAATTCTCTAAATCATTCTCTATATACGACATTCTCTACAATTGTTTTCTCTATAAATTCTCTGTAAAATACATTCTCTATAAAATAATTCTCTATAATTGTTTTCTCTATAATTGTTTTCTCTATAATTGTTTTCTCTATAATTGTTTTCTCTATAATTGTTTTCTCTATAATTGTTTTCTCTATAATTGTTTTCTCTTTAATGGTTTCTCTGTAATGACCCGATACCATATTTGTCTACCCATCAATAAAAGTCAAATTTATATCTTATCTTTCAGTTAATATATTTTTAATCCTTTCATATTCACTCTCTAATAAATTTTTACTAAGTAAATATCTGAGATCATTTTCAATGCTGTTTAAAATATTTTAATAATTTCTTCCAATTACACGTTGCATTATGGAAAATAAAATTGCTTAATAATGAAAATTAAACTATTTGCTTTGTATTGACCTTTTCTTATTTTTGTAACTTTTATTTTTACTCTTATTATTGTAAAACTAATTTTATATTTTATTTTGGAAAAGCTTTTATATTCAAATTTGTTATATTAAATTTTGTATATATATCGTAGATTTTTTTCTATGTAAAACATATATAATATATTTTAGAAAATAATATAATAAAAAATCCATTTCACGTTTTCCCCATCATATATATTAGTATGATGCCCCGGTCCCGGAAATAAAGACTCTCAGGTAAAAAAAAATTTTGACTATTTTATTTTTTTGATTCTTCCATTGTGTTGTAATGGGGAACTTAACACGTTAAAATATGAAAAGAAAAAAAATATGATAATTCGTGCAAATATGCAACTCAATGTGATGATCCAGAAGCAGTATGAAAGTTGGACAGTAAGCTATGAATTTTGTATAGTAGGATCAATGAATAATTACAAACAATTCCAAATGCACATAAGATGAAAAGTTATTATAAATTAAAATACCATTCCAAAATAAAGTCATACTTTTAACATAAAATAACTTATAAAGTAAATACTAATCAATCGTAATGGATATAAATGAATGCATAGAAAACCTTGAAGAATATTTATTAAACAATGAAATAACAGTTGATTTTCTTAATAACTTACCTGATTACATTTTTCATATTTTTGATTTCTTGAATTATGATCAAATGTGAAATTAACTAATAATAAATTCATAGGTACAATAAAAGGGTATTTTGAAGATAAATTACCCTTAGTTCAACCACATAATCATTATAAAAATCATAATATTGACAATTTTCAGCCTAAAACTCATTATAAAAAAGGTTATAATAGTAATTGTCATAATAGAAATAATCCAGGTAATTATTATAAGAGTAATCAATATAAAAATATAATAAAAATAATTATTACTACAACGAACAACCTTATATTTATAATAAGAATGAAAATGTTCGTAAATAAAATAAAACTTGTAATAAAATTATGAAAATAAAAGATAAAAATCCAATTGATTTAGAAAAAATACATGGTTTATTTATTTCTGATTAAGATAAAAAATAAAAAAATTTTTATTCAAATTAATGTAGAAAAAATTGATATATACCGTGTTAAACTAATAGATAAGAGAATTGTTGCTAAAAATTTTGAAATAATTTTAACAGAACTTATTAGTGAAGAAATTAAGGATGCGAATGTTAAAAAAAAATTATTATAATTTCAAAAGTTTAATCTTACAAATTGAAATCCATTAATCACATGTTAAAGTACAAAGAAACTCTTATAATTATTATTAAAAGTAATAAGAAATTTAGGAAACATAACACTTTGAAGATAAAAATTTAAATCGTACTTAATTGATAAGATACAATCTCAAAACTAAACATCTTAAATTCAAAAAAATATTTAAAGATGCGACAATGAGATTATTTTCTAAAATTTGAGGCTAAAGAAATTATTTTTTACAAAAACAATGATGATCTGAAGAAGAATTATAATAATAGGACACTTTTTAAATGGAAAAACAAGGGTGTGAAATCAAACTTTTTTTAAAAAGAGAGAGAAATTTGCATAAAAATATTTTATTTGCATATTATTAATAAAAAATACATAAATATTTAACACTTAAACGCGAAAATAAATTAAATATTAAAAATATGATACAATAATCTTAATGATTTATCATTTTGATTCTATTCTATACATTCCGTATATTATTCCAAATTTCATATATTATTCCGATAATTCATTTATTCTCATATCTAATTTGATCAATTATTATTTCTAATTATTCCTAACTAATTGATGATGATAACAATTTTGAAAAATGATAATAATAACAACGGAGACAAGCAGCTTACATGACAAAATTACGATTGATAAAGACAACTTACGATAAGGATAACTAAAACGATTTGGACAAACCAATGTAGAAACTCAAAAACGATTTGGACAAACCAACGTACAAAGTCAAAAACGATTAGAACAAGCCAACGTATAAAATAAAATGCGATATAGAACAGCCAAAACGATAAACCATTTGGACAACACACTCTCAATGATAGCTTACATGAAATTATGGGAGCTTCTTAGAAGAGGGAGAATGTTGAATAATGAAAATTAAACTATTAATTTTGTATTGACCTTTTCTTATTTATGTAACTTTTATTTTTATACTCTTATTCTTGTAAAACTAATTATATATTTTATTTTGGAAAAGCTTTTATATATTTAAATTTGTTATATTACATTTTGTATATATGTAGTATTGGGATATGGAATCACGTGGGATTCCGAATAAAACGTGGGGATTCAAGCCATGAAAAAAAAATTCCGAATCCCCATGAAAAAAAAATATAATTACTTTTTCTTCTCTTTTTCTGCGACTGGCACCATTTAATTAAAAGGCCGAAATAAGGGATTTAAAAAGAGAATTTAAAAAAAAAAAATAGTATAAAGGCATATAATGAATGAAAGGGATGAGGAAGACTTTATTGTTTTAAAATATAAAAAAATATATTTATAAAAAATCTGAATTATTGCAACAATTATTCTATGTAATGTGGCATTTCGTTGAAATTTAAGCAAAAATTTCTTAATCAATAATAATTTAATGTTTTGTGTTGTCAAATTATGCACTTGAAATAAAAAGAAATATTCATTTGTAGCCATAATTATATTATATAAATATTTACTATAAAAATTTTAATAAAGGAGTTCTTAGTAAGAAAAAAAATTAACGATCCCATATTAGAAATAACAAAAAAATTTGAGTAAATAAGATATTTGAAGTAATAATAAGTATAAATACTCACTATAAAAATTTTATTTATAGAGTTCCAATAAAAAAAAATTAACGATACCATTAATTATTAGAAATCACAAGAAAATTTTGAGTAAATAAGATATTTGAAGGAATAATAAGTATAAATACCCACTTTAAAAATTTTATTTATAGAGTTCCAATAAAAAAAAAATTAACGATCCCATTAATTATTAGAAATCTCAAGAAAAATCTGAGTAAATAAGATATTTGAAGGAATACAAGTATAAATACCAACTATAAAAATTTAATTTATAGAGTTCCAATAAAAAAAAATTAACGATCCCATATTAGAAATAACAAAAATTTTGAGTAAATAAGATATTTGAAGGAATAATAAGTATAAATACTCACTATAAAAATTTTATTTATAGAGTTCCAATAAAAAAAAATTAACGATCCCATTAATTATTAGAAATCTCAAGAAAAATTTGAGTAAATAAGATATTTGAATGAATAATAAATATAAATACCTACTATAAAAATTTTATTTATAGAGTTCCAATAAAAAAAATTAACGATCCCATTAATTATTAGAAATCTCAAGAAAAATTTGAGTAAATAAGATATTTGAAGGCAGTGGCGTAGCTAGGAATTTTCCTTAGAGGGGGTGCATATATATAAAAACCTGGGGAGCTTCGCCCCCCAGATCTTCTTAAACGGGTCTTCGGCCGGGTTTATCCTAAAAATCATAACCATATCTTCGATAATATATAATAAATAAATAATATGTTATTATAATTTAAAAAATATAAATATTAGTGGTATATATTTGATATAAAGTCACTTTTAAGTCTTTTGAACGTATAATCTAAAAAAAAATTTTGCTCTGGGAGGGGTCCAAACCCGAAAACCACCCCCGTAGCTACGCCACTGTTTGAAGGAATAATAAGTATAAATACCTACTAAAACAATTTTATTTATCGAGCTCCAATAAAAAAAAAATTAACGATCCCATTGATCATTAGAAATAACAAAAAAAATTAAAATATATGAGTAAATGTGATATTTATAGAAATAATAAATATCTATTACCCCTTTACCCTAAAATTTATTT